CTGTAGAAGATTGCCTTGGCACAGCACACCTACGACCTCTTTTCCCAGTTGCGCTGCTGGGAAAAAACGTTGTGGACTATATTTACCCATGCGCAACAAATTACTACCATCTTCCTCCCTTTTGGCCTTGCAAGTACCTGGATGCCAGGTACTGCTCACAGGCAGAGGTTTGTCCCTCACGTGTTGCAGAACCCTTCCCAATGCCAGTTGTATGAGAGTAATTTTCTTGGCGAAGCTCCACCAGGGTTCATTGAACTCTTCCTGCTCACCTCGTTCCCTGGTGCCACTTCAGGCTTGCTGAACGGCCTGGGTTTGCTGCCAGAGAAATCTGGGCTGGAGAAGGGACTTGAGCGAGCTTGAAGTTGGATGCTGCCCTGGATGAATCAACTTCACAGCATTGAAAAATTTTGAATATCTGCCCAGACATTATTGCTGTCACAGTAGCATCATTATCGCATTTGGGTTTCAGCTGATCTTGTGCATCAACCGGATACTGTTTTCTGACTGTATACTATGCAAATTGGTGTGATGCTTTTTGGGGCTGCTTTCCAGCTTAATTTGCCATCACTGCACTGTGTCCCTACAAGCAGCTGCTTTTGCACCTGCAGGTGCGCTAGAGAAAAATTTGAGACCGCTTTTACAGCAAGAACGAGTGGCATTGTGTCGAAATTGATGAGCGGACATGGACGTCGTTTTTCCACATTGCATGGACTTGGGGCATGAATTTAAGTGTGAACAACTTTGAAAACACATTCTTCTGCGATTGGAAAACACACGGCGCTGTCCAGCAGGTGCTAGGACAGCAATTTGTCATATATCACAAACAATACTCCAATAGGGATATCGTTGATGTTTATTCGGGTTTTGTGCCACATTGTACAGAAATCATGGTGGGATCAACAGGCTGGATGAATTTGGGACCCAGCCGCCAGAATCAATGTCGATGCTGTCGATCTGCTCTCCCATGTGTGGCATTATACCTCATATGAATTGTGCGGCAAAGGTATTTTTCCCTCGTTCATGTCTCCGATCAACACTGTTTGAAGCGCGCACAAACGCGGACCCTGCATAGGGATCCAATCACCCCAACCGATGGCCCAGCCAACAGAGACAAAGGAAAGAGATGTAGCTTGGACGCGGGCGACAAGAACCCCTAGAGCCTTCTGCCCATCAGGGCAAGCTCCGGACTAGCGAGCCATGTCTCATGTGCAGTGGCATTCCCCCTACCGCTCAACAAGGCCATCGACAAAACACCACCAATGGCATCGGCTGGCAGATCCTTGCCTCCCCAACCCCTTCCTCTGTCCAAAAGTCCAAGGATCAGCGCGCCAATAGCTCTATAGAGCTGGGCCCGCCATTCGGAGGGAGCTCACCGCCCTGGTGAAAGGCGCAGTTCTGTCCATTGGGGCGGCGTTCAGGCCATGAATGTATCACCTTTCGCACGAACCCTGACCGCCTTTACCTCCCGAGCGCATCTGGAACGCTTCCTGAGATGCAGCGCTGGCTGGCACATGTGCAGGTCCCCGGTCGAGGAAGAAGACCGGTGCGCGGAGGCCTCCTGGGTGCAGAAGGTGGCTGGGCTGCGACGGCCGCTGCAGCGGCAACATTTTATGTCAACGCCTCGCGGGCAACATTTAATTTGCCTGCCAGTGGGCCACTTCTGAACATAGTACACTACCACTGTTGAGTACTGTCTGCGGCGCTGTTGTGGTTCCACGGCATCTGCAGGGTTTATATTTCAGCTGGAATATCGAAGCGTTGCACAGCAAGCCACTCTACACCAAGTTGGGTTGCTAAGAATGACAAGGGGATCGCGATTCGGCCCGAGCCGAAAAAGACTCTACGGATGGACAAGGACCCTCGTCCATCCGTACAGCCGTGACGTCTTTCTGAGGAGCACCATGGGAATAAGACGTCTTGCTGTTGCGTCACCCATTCTTTCCCTTACTGTTGCGCACCATATGCACCATATGCGGGGTCACATATATGTGCGGGACAAATTTTGGTGGCGCGCCGTAGAATTGGACGACTTGTGATTGCACACCACATCATCTGACGCCTTCGGTGCCGGCCGCACCATGGGTGCGGAAGGGCCTCAAAGTTGGCGCAGCCAGGGTGTGGATGGGCAGCCGCACCACGGCAGCTTAGAGTAGTACAAAGGGCTCTAGGACGCAGCACGGGTGCGGGACAGCTGTTGTGCAGCAGAGATATGACGGATTTTTAACGAGCTTGGCATTTCTGAATATGAATGATTGGATGTGTGCTTATGTGGGTGTGGGTGTGGGTGTGGGTGTGGGTGTGGGTGTGGGTGTGGGTGTGGGGGTGGGGGGTGGGGGAAAGGACGGCAGAATTTCAGGGGCACCGGTGCGCCAAAACAACACTCTGCAGTGCTTTGGTGCTGTGAGAAGGTGTGAAAGCATCACAGCCCAGTCGGGCAAAGTGCAATTGCTCCCCACAGCTGCGTCAACAGTCGAAGTCTTCGACTCGAAGGACGCTTGTCATATGTACCTTTGTCGCTGCCCTCCGCCAGGGGGGCCCGAACGAAGCACCTAACACTGATGTTCTTCATACTTCAGCTCACACTACAGCCCAATTCAATCGTTAGTTTGTGAACCTGTTTAACACAACTAACGTTTGGGTAATACCCAAGCAGGCCTCAACCAGCCTGCCTACCATGTTTCCCAAGGACCACTCCAGCAACTCTAGCTTGGCCCTTTCCAAATGAATCCTTCTGGGCCTGGTAATTACAATACGCACTCCAATCTGCCCAACCATCCCACAACCAACCCATCATACCATTCATAGCGTAATGCATTTGGAATTCAAAAAGAAACATACCATCCGCCTATGCCCCAGCTTCCCCTCAGCATCCGATCCCAGCCCCCCACGCGTGTTGCCCACATGGAACGGGCACAGCGACGCGTCACAGCGAAGGCTGGCATCCCGTGTGCTTGGGTGAGGGTTGTACTTTGGCCAACCAGGGTGTGACAACATTGGGCTCGCTCACCTCCATGTTCCGGGGCCAGCACCGTCCATCTGCCCTCCTGACCATCGTCGCCCATTGCGGTACCCCAGCGCAACCGTTGCGTGGGTCTTTCGGGGAAGCGCAGGTGGTGTCGTTCCGGTCTCCCAGTCCCCCACTCCCTCTGTCTGCGAGGACCCGCCGCTGGACTCCTGCAGCCAGCCGATCGCAGAAGAAAATTTTTGGAGCCAGCAATCGAGAGTCTCGCCTACCGCCCTTGGAACTCGGTGAGCACTGTGGCAACATTTGTCGAATGGGCTGCATCAGCACGTGATGTATTGCGGCGATTGGGCGGACGGACTGCAGTGATTCCTGTGGTATTGAGCCCGGTGGAGGGAAAGAAAGAGGCGCGTAGGCGAAGGCGGTGCGTGGTGGAACGAGATGCAAGCCCTCGCTTGGGCTGAGGGTTGGCTGCTGCGGGCGAGTGTCGCAAGATGATGGGAGCGCTTCGGAATGGCGCAGAACGGCGAGATTTGTTTGGAGTAGCGAATGGGAACGTTCTTGCATGTATCCTGGCCTGAAAGGTGCCTAGGCCCTGGGCTCTGGGCCTGGGGCTGGTGACTTGGCACCGTTGACTGCCCTGGCACCCCCTTACAGGCCTCGCGATGTTGAACAGTGGCTGGAAGTGGAGGAGATGCAGAGTGGTTGTTGTTGTCGCTGATCGCCAAGTGGCGGGATGGCGACAGAAAATTGTGGAGAGTGAGGTTTTTTAAGTTTGATTTTGATGCACTGAGGCTGCGCATATGCGAAGATTTTGATCAACTCGGAGCAAAGGTGTGCACACAATTGTGCACGTATTGGCGTATCTACAGTGCAGGTTTTGCAGTGCTTTGGCCAGATGAAGTGGTCAGTGCCTTTGCTCATCATGTGGATTAATTTATGATGTCTGGGACCACACAATGCTTGTCATTTGTTGTTTGTCGACACAGGAGCTGTGCACTTCTGTGGGTATGCTATGAACCACAACCTGTCCCTAAGTTGCGTTAACGCAATTTCATGGCCAAGGGCAAAATGACATTTTTTGTCGTTCATGGGCTCATTGGCTTGTGCTCAGCTAAAGCCATGTTTCCCCGCTTGTTGGCTGTGTGAGCAGGCAGGTGCTTGGCTTGGCTGTGTTGTATGGTACCTAACGTGGCACCAAGGACACGTGCAAAGTTGGCTTTCAGCTGGATACTCTGACGTTGGAGGACTGCACTTGACGCAAGAGACAAATCAAGGCTGCTGTGTCCAGGACACACCATCTTGTCAGACGACTCACGATGTAAGTTCTGCATCAGAATGACTGCACTGTATTGGTTGCTATTGAGAGCACACTGACTGCCGCAAACTGGCATCATGTAGTCATGTAGATCAACATGGGTTTTAGAAGGCAAACAAGGGCTCTCAGCTCGATTCATTAGAACAAATCAGCATAACAGCTCGATTGGCCTTGATTTCGGATCTGTCAGTGACCTCATGGACTCTGAATTTTTCATCTGTGAGGTTGATCGTTGGTTAAGATACAAACACCTTGTGGGACTTTACATTGCCCCTGTGCTTTCTTGCTAGGTGGGACAAGGCCAGCATCTGGTTTGTTAGGATGGGACTGGCACCTGGAAACTGAACTATATGCAATGTACTGGAATAAAATGACAAACAAGGAGCATCTGGGTATGATTGGGTGGACAATGATCAGTGACGCAGTTGCACTAACGTTGCCACAAACTGGGCACAGAATGCACAATGTGTTGTGGTTAGTGCACATGCACTCAAGCATCTGCATAGTTGCTCCCACACCGCTGTGGTGTTGTTTTTCTTGCAGCCGGCTGTATAGACTCTGCAAGTGCTGAATTACACTTGCACAAGTTGTCCAAATACAGCAGTCTGAATGCCAAGGGTTGAACAGCATTCTTTCCTTGGAGATTGTGGACACCATTATTGACCTTTTGTGTGGCCACAAATTATGGCAGTTTGACAACAACTCAGAAGAGGCAAGGTGATGGGTTCGACACCCCCAGGGCGTGGCGTTCACGTAAACCTCATAGCCCGATTGAGAAAGTTCACAGAGGAGCAGCCTCAGGCAGGCACCAACAATGGTGCCAGTGGTAGTGGCCAGCAGTCAGGAACACTCACTGCTGCCCCAGATTCCTTTGCAGAGGCTGTGGCATGTGAGACGCTTTGCAATGCCAACAGCGGCCCTGAGGTTGTAGACTTGACGCTGCTCGATTCAGAGGATGAATCTTCAGAGCTTAAGGTTCGGGGGGAAGAGGAACGTGAGGGCTGTAACGATGAAGATGATGATGCAGGGGGGGAGGAGGAAGACATGGATGATGTGGACTGGGAAGAATGTGACGAATTGATGGAAATGCAGTTGGAAGAGGAGAGAACCCAAGTCTTTCAGGAGGCACAATTGGCGATGCCAGAAGTGAAGGTGGAGCAGCAGTTGTCTGTGAGCAGGCAGTTGTCTGTGAGCGGGCAATCGTCTTGTAGCAGCACACTTGTGGGGGGTTCGATGGTTGAATTCTGTGCAGCTGTGCAGACATGCCCTGAATGCACCAATGGAGAGGTGAGGGTGCTGGGCCACACCCTATTATGGCCTGCTTATATGCTTTTTTTGAAAATGCTTGAAGAACAAGGACATGGGATGCATTTGCACACGGACAGCCACCAGCACAGCGTGTGTGCACAACTGAAGAGAATGATCCAAAATTCTCTTGATGCAGGTGAAAAGATGGTGCAGTGTAGGGATTTGCTTTTGCCAGAGGACATAGAGTGCAAACCATTGCTTTGTGCCCGCTTGATTGATGCGAGTGATAGTCGGAGGGCACTTGTGGGTCAGCGAGGGGTGTTTGCTGTGAAAGACATTGCCCCAGGTTGTTTGCTTGGGCCGTACAGGTCCCTGGCTCTGCCAACTAGGTTCTTCAACCATTTCACGAAACACCCCCCTCCTCGTTGGGGCACATATGCACAGGGAAAGTGCAGCCACCCAACAAAAGTGTGGGAGTATTTGGTTAACAGCTACTCTGCAGATGTGGATTATGTGCATGTCAGAAGCCAAAGCAGCCAGGATAGTAGCCAGGACGAGCAGGGGAAGGCCTATCACATCACTATGTCTGCATTTGGGTACGGGAACATAAGTTGTCTAGTGAACGACCACCACACTGACCCCTGGAGATTGTGGGATGAAGATGATTGTTCAAGGTACCTATTCCAGCTTCCATATGAAGCAAAGGAAGAGTACAAGGAAGCCAGGCTTGGGCCCACGGTGGCAAGTCCTAATGTTGATATTGAAACAATATATGTGAACGGGTTTCCTTTCTTGTTCCTTGTTTCTAAGGAGCACATTAGGGCTGGGGAGGAACTATTGTATGACTATGGGTATTTGTATTGGGAATGTCTGAAGCCACTCAGCGATGGTTTGGATGCGGCAGACATGGCCTTCATAAACAAAATCATGTCTGGGAATTAGAGACTTGGGAAGAGGAATCCATGGGTCTATATAGATGTAGAGGTAATGAGCGGAAAATAAAAGTAGTGTGCAAATTCTTTGCCACATCTGTTGCTGATATACTGGATCAACAACATTTTTTGTTTGAATTGGTGTTGAGAGAGGAACATGGGGGGGAGAGCCATTGTCTTTTGCATGATGACAATGTGCAATTGTATATTGATCGTCGTTTCTTTCCAGAGCAAATTTTGCATGCTTATTTTAAAAAAGGATGCTCATCGAATCAGGCCGATGGCAATGCTCTGAGCGAGCTTGCTGGTGGGAAGACAACGAAGGATGACATGTTGTCCTATTGTACTTGGGCCTCTTGATAGTGCAGTGGTAAAAAGGAGTGGTAGCATGGTGACGTGGAACATTGGAAATTCTGGAACCATGATGGCAACGCTGGTAACTAGTAAACTTTAGAGTCGATGATTAAGTCGTGAGACAAAACACTCGTTGGTGATGGGGATTGGAGTCACCACCAATGGAAGGTGACTCATGTGTGAATGGGAGGAATGGACACCTAGATGTTGTCAAGAGGATTACAAAATCACGATGGACATGACTGTTAATCCTAGCCAAATGCTCGTAGAATGATTGTTCGGTTCCCAAGAGGCGGCTTTGAATGTGAAAGGGCCTTTGGGCCCAACTGTATATTGCTTTAACAAAGTTCTATGTTCCTTTTCCAGCTTGGGCCAGTTGTCCGACACGGTTTTATAGCGCCCTGGGGGGGAACAACATGGTAGCACAAGCCCGGTAGCCTATATGGCATGGATCAATATTCCTTGATGTGGACAAGTTGAAACCTTGTTGGTCATGACTTGATGGAAGGCCTTTCAAGTCCCAGATTACAGGTGTTACAGCTTGGAGGGGCCTTGAGACCCAGAAAGCCTTTACAAAGGTTGTGCTCGAAACACCGCGTTGAATATGGTTCTGTTTGATAGGAATCGAAGCATGTAACGGCACTCATTGTGTCACCAAAGTGGCTGTGATCTGAAAGCGGTCCTCTGCAGTTGCTGTGAGTCTACGTTAGACTCACAATGTTGAACATTGGCTCCCATGTTTATGCGAGCGGCAGAGCGTGGGGAATGCTTGCCATGTGGATGGTAAAGGAGAGCTCCTTGCACGAGCTCTCGTTCTCAAGTATCACAGTCAGTAAAATTGTTATGAGTAAATCCGCTGGTCAGGATGCTCAGCATCGCTGTGTGGAGGATCGCTGCTTGTCACCAATTAATTGTATTCTATGTGATATATGTGTGCTGTAAGTTGGGGTGCTGACGCGCACAGCTGGGAGAATAGACTGAGTGAATAATCGCACGTCGATAGCAGTTCGAAACTGGGGTCTGGGAAGAGGCCGCGGGCCTAGGGGAAGTGCGTCAGTCCCCTCACCCAAGGCTGGGCTTAGTCATAATCAGAATCTTTGCCCCCTGGGGACGCAAAATCGGCACAATTCATTGTGCTACTGATTCAATCCACTATTGTAGTTTGCAAGCTACGATTGGCTCCGCCCATTGGTGACCGGCGAATGCGAACAGTTGTGTGCCAGTAACTCAGTGGCCAATCGCAATTCCCTTTGGAGGTTGGAAGTTGACATATAACTTAGTGCCACTAAGTCACGGCCAGCCTCAACCTGCAGGTACAGATATATGTGATGCTGGCGTTCCAAGCAAGGCCAAATTTGGTCCATTTCAACTTCGCCCTCATGCATCCATTAGGCACTACAGGCGTGATTCGGCAAACTTGCCAGCCAGAAAAGCCATGTTTCACTTGTAGTGTTCAACAACTCGGGGGCTTGACTCCAAAAGTGATAGGCGGGCTAACAACTTTCTTAGATGGCAAGTCTGTCTGTAGGTACTCAACACCAGCATCGCGCCAGGGAGGTCTCTCGACAAACTGAGCGCACCTTGGGCTGAGGAGGGGGGCCGAACGGCAGGGAAACAAGTGCCAAGGCTGTGTGTTCGTGAGCGTTGAACAGTTGTGGTTGTGTGCATTTCACCAATTTCGGCCAGTGCGCTGATCAACGAACTCCCTTCGTGAAGGAAGCACCCGAATATATTGTGCAACTATTTTCGTTTAGCATTACGAACACCCTCCGAACCCTGAACCTCTGGGTTCCAATATGTTAGGCTGGATCAGTGTCGCAACCTGTCTTACTTGGATCGCGAGGCGAGCCAGAAGCCCCAACTCGAATTCATCGCCCTTTTTTGTGGCATTATCCGTTCAGAGCCGACGAGTTTACAGATCTGTTTGCACACGTGACGCCATTCTGGCACGAGAGCTTTACATCCACTTTTGCCCAGGCCTGGGCACCCCTTGGGTTGATTGGTACTTGAAGCACGTGGGTTGCTAAAGAACAAATGCATGAAAACGTGTGGTGGACAGGGTTGTGGCATATGGCCAAATCAATATCGTCATCTGGCATTTCCTAAATTTCTTTAGTTGTTCTAATCGAGCACCAAAGCATCCACCTGACATTGAAATTTGTATTGTCAGAAGTGAAAAGGCGGAAAGATAACAAACTGAAATGAAAACCTTCACAGCATAGCTGCTGTTAGAAGTGGTGCTCGCAGTTTAAGCCCAATCCAGAAATCTAAAAATCAATTTGTGGTACCAGTTTTGGTAATGATTCAAGCCAGAAGCTCCCCAATTGGCATGTCTTGCCATTCATTGTATGGATTCACATTGCTTCGATTCAATGAATCATATTGTTTCGATTCAATGACATTGGCATGTACTTCCTCCGTCCCAAATTAAATTGCAGATATGAACCGTAGGCCTCTAAAGCCTAATAGATCATCTTCGATTTGTACAAATTTGGACCGCAATTCTTTAATTTAAATCTACTTTGTGCTCTAAAAATTTTGAGCCAATTGACTAAGTATTCAGTCCGCAATATTATTTTGAACACACGTCACTCAGCAAAGCGTTTCAGGGTGGCTCCGAAACAGCCCGTTTTTGGCCCGTGGTCCATGCCACCTTGCAATGCCTCTCCCCGCGCGAAGTGACGCGACTTAGAAATGCGCTTCGGACTTCAGGTTAGAGCAGACACATAAAAGTGAAGGTCAAGCCATCAGGATATCCTGAAAGGCGTGATCGAGGATCTCGCCTGCCTTTTGCCTCCATCGCCATTCCCTGAATTGTGCGCCGATTGTGCCAGGCTATATTTTCAAATCTCACTGGCACTTACCCCCGCCGAGTCTTGGGACGTCCACGTTTCCTTGCCATGCGCAGGGCAAGTCCGTTCCCGCGGGATTGGTGATTGCATTCTGGATGGGCTTACCGCTGGTCTCAAAGGTTCAGCGTGAAGTCTCAAATCTATGAACATGATCGTCGATAACCATTTTACGGACGCACTGGCGGCCTGCCCTCCGTCTTAATGTCTCCTCTCCGACCTGGAGTCCAAAGTGCGTCTCCAACTCCTATAGCTTCGCGCAATGGGCGACACTGCAGAGTGACATGGTCCAGGGGCCTGGAAAAGGGCAGTTTTGGCGCCACCTTGGAAAACAGAGGTGTTTCTGGAAAAGTGAGGTCTGTTTAGAATACCACTGCGGATTGCGTACTTAGCTGATTAGCTCAAAAATTTGGTATCGCAAACTAGACCCAAATTAAAGTGTTATGACAAATTTGGTGAAATTATGACATTTTTCAGTGTGTTTTCTTAGGCCACGGATCATATTTTCAATTTAATTTGAGGCGGAGGAAGTATGTGTTAGAGCTTTTCCAACCCACCGCAATGCCTGTTGCCACTGTCTACCCTTAGGGGCCACACTATGTGGATTCCTATACATTTGACGTCAAATTGCTGCCACATACACAGAGAGTGGGAGCCGGTTAGAAAGCCTGGGCTCAACACAACTTGACATGAAGTGCACCAAAATCGACGAAATGTGGTCCCTTTAACACCATTAACAGGGCAAACCCGAAGAACGCTGAATCGCCACAACCTGACCTGATCCACACATGCCTGAACCCCCCTTTCCCTTCCCAACGAACGGAGTGGCCGAGGTGGCGCTCGGGCAAGCCCATTGCAATTCGCAGCATCGTCTGCGTCGATCATGAATTGATGAGCGCCATTGCCGCGGCCTTCCCCCTCCCAGCCCCCCCTGTCACATGGCCATCCCCGTCCACAGATCTGCAGTCCCGTGCGGCTGGCTCGCGGCGCGGGAAGGGAGCCCTAGAAGCCCTACCCAGCGCCGGCCCTCTTCCCAGCCAGCGTACAGGCGTCCGCCCGCCCGCCGCCCCTCCCGGGGACCCTCTTGACGGCCATGAGGACGGAACGCGTGCAGCCCGATGCCGTCTGCCGCAACCTGCCCGCGAGGAGGGCGTCGATCAAGCCCACCCCGGGCAATCGGCTGGCCAGGTGCGCGCCAGCCCTTCACTCCACGTGACTCCACTCTTGACGCCCTTCGCTCCGCGCTCGCAGAGATCCGCAGAAGTGGTGCCGGCGCGGCTCCGCGCGAAAATCTTTCGATCACATCTGTTCAAGGGCGACGACACGAAGCCCTTGGGGCTGTTGAGGCGATGTCCGGCGTGACCCCTCGCACAGATTTTTTTGTTGTTTTGTTGCCTCGGAAAGCGATCGCCGTGGTTGTTCTCGCGTCCGGGGCTCTGAGGGCCCGCGCGATGCTCCGAATCGGCATGGGGTCATCGGGAGGTGCCGTACGGCGGGAATTTGATCGGCGGGGGATGCTCGACGGGCCCGGCCTGTGGCGTTTGGCGGCCCAGGGTTGCCGCTTGGAGGAGGGAACGGCGTAGCCTTGCCGGCTGGGGGGAATGGTTTGTCGCCGGGCGGGCGCTGGCGGGCGCCGGCGGAGGCTACGGGCGAGTTCTGACAATCTGGGCTCCATGCATGCTTTCTGAATCGGGAGTCTGAGGTTGCAAGCAGAATGGCGTTGCGAACGACATGCAGCCGGTGTTGTAGTCTTGAAGTCGCAGCGTTCCTGGGTGTTTTTCATCCCCCTAAATTTCAAAAATATAGGACAAAAATTAGGACAGAAAACAGGACAAAAAGCAGGACGAAAAGTAGGAACAAAAATAGCACAAATTAGGACGAAAAAATAGTACAAATTATTGTGCGCAAATGTTACAAAATTTAGTAGTTGACTTCGGGCTCAGTGTAAGCTAAGACCCAACATAAATAACTGCAACAATATCTCAGATTTAGAAAGTACAGGCTGTGGCGTTGTGATATTGCAGTGTTGGGAGCGCACTCGTGACATCATGGGCGAAACTAGCTGTGCGGTGGTGTGTGCATGCACCAGACTACTGCAGCGACCGACAAGGTCACCACTGGTCCGGCGAAGACCTAGCAGCGCTGGTCTTGTGCCTGTAGCGTCCTGGTCTGTGGACAAGGAAATTCACAACCAGACGGCAAGCTTTGTGTCTGGGTACGCAATGGGTGAGAGACAAAGGGCTCAGTGTCCGAAGGTTCTTGCAATCAGCTTTCTGGCTGCTTTTTGTTTCGATGGTCTTCATAAATCATGCTCGGCGAATCCCAGACTATGTGCCTGCTAAAGGGAGGGAATGATGAGCGTTTCCATGCCAATCTTTCCTGCAACAACTCACTGGCATCTTCACTTCTCCTTGTTGAGCAGCACGGGTACGGACGCTGCAATTTGGAACAGCTCCTTTCTGTACGAGTATACCTGGAGATTCGAGGACATGGTTAGGACCGAGTACTGATCACAGCACCTGGCCTCTCAAGGTCCCAGGCTTCTCCCCATTGCTGCACATCATTGCACATGGTTTTCTTGACAATCAACTGAATCCCTTTGACTACATTTGTCTCAAGATAGAACTTGGTCTTTGTACCATTCAGGCAGTGATAGGTATATTTCTACACACATGAAGCCATCCCGAACGACACAAGCCACACACTGACATGGGGAATTGCTATCTTAATCCATTATCTGGAACAGTGAAAAATTGCAAGGTCTCTTGGAAGTTTGCCCCCGTTTGATGATGGCAATATTTGATTGTCATGTGTGGGGAGATGCAAGGAAAGTATGTGATGTCTCTTTTGTGTGGGCCGCAGCGTCAGCGTCAGGGCAAAGCAGCCGGAACTCGTTGACAGCAAGCAGGTTAGTGCGGTGATTTTGCCAAGCAGGAGGAATTTGCATTGATCACATTCTCCAACATGACAAGTTTTCTCCCTGGTAGGCGATGTTGGGTGCTGCTTGCCTGCCAAGTGCACCAGGATCATGATGCTGAGACCAGCAGTGACAGCTCTACACAAAAGAGATGGCAAACTGAGTGCTTGATTGAATGATTGCCTGGCTGGCTGGCTGGCTGGCTGGCTAACTGACTGATTGAAGGTTCTGTGACCATTTCTCAGGCTGTAGCGAGTCGCCGGCCGATTTTGATTGGTGTCCTTGGGACGTGTGCGTCATTGGCTTGTGTGGGTGGTGCACAAGCCCTCACCAGGGCTGAGGTGGACAAGCGCAAGGCGACGATCGAAAACCAGGAGGCCATGTTGGAGTACATGCTGGAGCAACAGCGCACTCTCAGCAAAGCCAAGGCAGCAGCAAAGGAGCAACAGGTCCCCCCCCACTTCACCCCTTACCCCATCCCATCCCTCCACACCCCACATCACTACACCGCAGCCCCCTGATCCTTTGGGAATTAAATTCGCCTGTGTTCGATGCTGCCTCTTTCCTGGTAGGCCACGGTTGTGGCCTTGCACTGGCTCAAACCACAATGACATGAACGCTGTTTTAGCTTATATAATCTGCAGAGCTGGAAATACATGTCTGGTGCATGCAGCAACAGACCTGTGCATAAGGTATGTATATTGCAGTGATGCGTTATGCATTGCACTGTGCATGACGTCCGTGCACGCGCGATGTCAATTATATTGTGGTGTGATATGTGTCAACAGATTTCAAATGTAATGCATAACCTAGGTCCCGGAGCATCAAGCCCAGTGTTTGCTCCCAATAGTCTGCGCAATGTGAGCAACTGTCTTTGCCAGTGCCATGGAACATGCTTGTTTGCAAGTATGAACTATTCACGCTGCTCAGATATGAGAGAAACACAGACACGTGCATTTTGATGAAGGGTGTTGGTCCAGCAACAGACTTTGGTCTCAAAAGAGAGTCACCTGCCCAGTCACTTTCCTTTTTGGCAGTGCAGAAAAGAGTCTCACACGCACACACATGCCCGGAGGGATTGCCAAATTTGTGACCTGTCTCAATGTTTGACAGATCTTCACCCATCTCTCCCTGCTTACAGCATAGCAATCTACCAAAGCACAGGTTGTGGTTCTCCGTTGCCATCCTGCAATGGTAGCGATGGCTTTTCAAAGGAGAAAGAACACAGCGGAACACTGATCGCAGTAACACGACTGTGTTGTGCGTGCAGATAGAGTCAGAGGCTAGTCAGATTGAGAACAGAATAACTCAGCAAATCACAGCCGATCGGGTAGATCCCTCCAAAGCCGAGGTGAGTGCTTTCTCGCATCCCACACAAGGCTTCCCCCGCCCATCTGCAGCGCTGGTCTTGAGCAATTGTATACTTGGCTGGATGCTGAATATTTGCACCTGGCTCAGGGGAGTTCTCTAAGGAAATACTGTGTCCTGGACATGGGTCGGCCCCAAGTCCTGGAATCAAATGCGACATGCGCGGCACAAATCCTGCAGCTGCATGCTTGGGCAAAGAAAACCCACATTAACAACATGGCAGAACAACCCTTCATGCATATCAACGACAAAAAGATGCAACAGAAAGCCAACCATCTGCAGTGCACTCCTTTGTTTTAGCATGCATTGCCTTGCTCAAGTGGTTTAAACAAGGCAGTTTGCCGTATAGGCTGCAGCTATCTGCAGCGAGATAGCCGCAGATAGGAAGCTGCCATAGTGCGAAACAAACCACTTGCCCACCAGGCCATGTCGATAATTTTGGCTGATTGATTGACGATGTTCAGCCTGACCATCCCTTGAATTTTGGAGCTGTGCACTGTTGCGTTGATGGTTTTATGTCATTGACCTACAAGGGAGTAAAGAAGAAATGTTCCCAGAACACTAGAGAAAGAAATGTCCCAGAAGAAGAGAATGCAAACACGTTTGTGTCCACCATATTACCGGACTTGTGCTGCCCCGCCGATATCGAATGCATAGCTCTGCTGTCTGAGAGTCCGAAACTATGACAATGCTGTTTGTGGCTCCCACCCCCAGAGTGGGTGCTCATGCAAGACGCATGGCAACCAGGATTGTTTGTGGGCTGGCATGGCGCCCTTGAATGCGGACAGCACAATCTGTCTGCTGTTCTTTCGTCAACAGGACTGCAAGGAATTGCAGCACTTGGAAAGTGTGATGTCCGTGTCACGCTTGCAAACTTGGAGCCAGCGTGCGTGGCTGCTTTTTGCAGGAAGTGCCCAAATTGGAGTCCGCCATTGAGGAGGTGCAGGCGGCCGAGGCCAAGGCGGAGGCCCAGGTCATCCGGGAAGAGATCCTGGAGGAAGCCAAAAGGGTGGGCGTGGAGCAGGACATAAGACTCGAGGCGGCGAAGGAGGAGGACGAAATATCAAAGGCGGTTGACGCGTTCGTGGCCAACATGTCATCGATGCAATGATTGTCAACAGCCATGCGCTTCAGGACAATCCAACCCTTTCGAGCAATGGGCCGCTGCAGCGACTGCGGTGGTCACCATCGACTTGCTGGCTTCACGCCGGTGGCTGTGTCTCAGGCTGTCAGCGACGTTGTTGACGTCGTGCTTGGTGGCAGGTGTGGGCCTCTGGGAAAGAGGAGATGGAGGTAAATCCTCGGTTTCCCGGTGTGCCAAGGCATTGCTCAGCGCTCCCCAATCAAACGACGCGCGATGTCGAGAGTGGCAATGGTGGTGGATTGTAACAAAGTGGCACGCCAGCGGGCGGGCCCCATGTCCAAAGCATTCCTTCTGAAACGGCATGCTGACCGCCCCTTCTGAAGCAAGGGGCACATGGCGTTGATAACGGGACGGACGCCTTTACATGGGATTCGCGACAGGATGGTGGCGTCAGCAGACAGACACGGCTGCGCGGTGCTGCCGTTTCAGATTGTGTCGAAGTCCCATGTTAGCGTGAAAGTCATCTTTCTCAAGCCAGTGGCACCCTTTTGGACACAGCGTATGCAAGACCAGACATTCCGTGCACTGGCCTCGCATGGAACTGTGCCCGAGAGGGTGTTCGCTGCGCACGCCCAGTTCTACCCGTCGAGGTGCAAGGGTCATCGAAGTGCAAGGGCACACCTTCGCCCCCTGAAGACGAACGCAATCAAAAGAGATTCCAAAAGCGACGCTGGAACGCCTGCGCTCTGCGCCGACAACGCTCTTCACATTTGCCCCTGCTTTCGTGCTGTGTGCCACGCACGAGGCTGTGCGCCGCTGGCGGGCACATTATCACTCGTCGCCGCTTCTTGCGTTGCACGCGGCATCCATGCTTGTGGCCGCAACAGCAAGGTTGCCCTGGCACTCGTGGCAATCGCTCACCACATCTCTGCACCACTTTCTTACAGCCATCCCCGAGGGATCGCAGAACATCAGCTGCCCCGCGAAAAAAATATGCCACAGCAATTCTTCAACCCCTTCAAGCACATTTGCAAGACAAATTGCACGCCGGCGGTGCCGCCCGGGAAGTAGGAGAACACGTAATATGCCAAGGCGACAACCTGCAAAGCAAACGACAACATCGAGTAAACAAGGCGAGCGCATCGCAATGGTAAGGCACCGTCATGTGCAGGCAATTTCCCCGCTGTGCAACTGGCGCAACGTTTGGATCTGTCAGCACCGCAGTGTTTGGATCTGTCAGCACTGCACAGCACCAACTGGATGTTTAGGATCATGCATTAGTATCATCTGTTGGTCTGGAACTGGTGAGGGATGGTAAGAGCGATGTGGGTGGGATGGGTGTCAGGCTTTCAGGACACTGCTTTGCGAGAAGGGACTGAAGGTGGCTGCGATAAAAGCAGCAAAGATGGCTCCTCATAGCAATAGGATGACAACGTACGTTCAGTACCAAGTCGACTTGCCTGCACGGTACAGAACACAAGCGAAAGGATGTAGCTCTTCAAAATGACCGCTGCATACCCCGTCGCCAGCATGCTCCCAACATATCCTGCCAACATGCGACAGCAAGAGGCAGTGAGAAACTTTTGGCAGGAGTATTGCAAACAGTGGCAGGCATCGATCATACAACTGTATGTGAGGCTAGCTACAGTAAGCCAGACTGCTGTGCTTCTGTCCTCTGACTGGCACTTTCAATATTGAAACATTATGCGAGTGAAAATGCGCGTGTATCCTGCAAGCACCCCAAAGAAACACCAAGAGCATGTGCTGCTGTATTTGGACAAACTACTGCTGAGCTGTCATATCCTGGACGACTGTCCACCCACAGCAGAGGGGAGCAGGCGGGCCAGCCCCCAATCGCATCAATGTATTCTGGTGGCATCAGTGTATTCTGGTTTGAAAGGGAAAGAACAAACGCACTCAGCAGCACATTTTGGCTTGGCAGCGTTGGTATTCATGCACAATCTGTGTGAATCTGCGTCACAGATTCTCGCTTGGACAAGATACAACAGCTCTCCTTTTCTATTCCACACAGTTGCTTCACTTCTGAGACATGACAGAAACACCAACAGACATGATGTGGGGATAGTACCAGCTGGCAACAAAGACAAGAACTTCCCCATTCAATTGTGAATTGTACATCCACTTAGGCCAACCCAGATTGCTCAGCTCCATTACAAACAGTTTTCTGGCTGCGATAGGCCCGCCAAAGTGCCTGAAGTGGCATCGCTGCCTGTGAGGACCAGTTTCCTTTTGGTTTTGGATATCAAATTAAGGGGGACCTGGCTGTTTTGAAATGCAAGGCTGCCAACAGAAGTCCTAGTTTAATGTGGAACGAGAACTCTTGAACATAATGCACATGGGAACAACAGAGCCTTGTGTGCTGCGTTGCCCTCTCAATGCACAAAACCCCAATGGATGTCTTCCATGGAAACAGGCCCTTCTTCACAATGCTGGGTGCTCTCCTGCCACAGCACCACCAGCCCAAGGCCAATCTGTTGGGAAGGAATTACGCCAACCATTGCACAGCTAATTGTCTAGTTGTAAGATGTATCTTAAAGTGCAGCTGTTCTGACTTGTCATCAGCCTATGACAGCACTTTACAGATGTAACGAGCTACCCTTCATCTACCTGTGTATGATTCATTAACATCCACAAATCCAACAGAAGCGACAACACATGGACCTCGCTATAGATGGACATATCTCCCCTACTTGCTTCTGACCTACACCGCCGAAAGGTGGCACAGGCTGCTGACATCATGTTTACGCTGCTGGGAGCGGAGTCGAGTTTAGTGAACACTCTGTAATAAACGAGTTAGTAATAATAATGATCATAATAACAGAAGCGACAACAGACTGAACTTGGTTTGTACTCTGTGGATCTGAAGCATTCATAAGTAATAATCACTGCAACAGCAATAGCCAACAGTTTGGAATAGTAGCAGTACCGGGTAATAGTAACACCATAAACAGCTACCAGACATACTGGCAATGCTCAGAAATAGTTATCATGCCACATCACTTCTGGAATGACATGTCTCACCAGCACTGAAGGCGATCCTGTCTTTGGACACCATGTGCTTCAGCTGCTGCTTCCAACCGTTTAGCGCTGCAAAGGCAGCCATCACGCACAGGCATCCCAGCGTGAAGGTCAAGGCAAATCTAGAGGGGCTGATGGCAATCATGGGAAGGAAGAGGGTGAAGGACATCACCAGCAACAAGGCCCCGCCTGCCATGAAGCTGGCAAAGTAGCTCCACTGCGTGGAGGTTGGCACACTGCAGCACATGAACAGGGCATACACATGTCATGCTGGAGTCTTTCCGCTTCTCCATGTTGACATTTATTGCCGATGTGTGACATGTCCATCACGAATCGTCATATGCACCAAAACACAGTCACTCATTAAGAATCTTGTCAAAGAACTGGGTACTTGAGGGAATGTGGAGTCTTGATCTCCACCATCGGTTGCATACCTGACCACCTGCCCAAGTGATACCACAGCGTCCTCAACACTTTGCCTCCCAAATTTGCCCCCATTGACTTCTTTGCCTCTCCAAGCAAAGGTTTTGTTGCTGAAACTATATAAGTTGTCGCACAGAAGGCAAAGGCAAACACCTAGCAGTGTGTGGGGGGGGTGCTGGGCTCTTAATGCGATGATTGAGCAAGCACTGCGAGCAACACTACTTGGCCCACCTGGCGCCCCATCTGTCCCCGCCCCTTAACACAGCTCATCTGGCACCCAAGGCTGCACCTTGGCCAACAAGGACGTAAACCCTTGTCATCCCTTTGGCCACAAGGGGACGTCCCCTACCACGACGCAGCGCAGCGTTCTTGGGACGCCAAGCCGCACCAACCGCTGAGCAGGGAGCCACACCACGCGCAAGTTACAACCCCAATACGACCTTCGGGCGCTCTGCGACGCTGGATGTGCAACAGCTTGGATCGCACAGGGGGCGGCTAGAAAACGACGGCGAATATCGAAAAGCCACGCCCACGAACCCACGACTGAAGACCAGGGCTCCCTCGCAGACTCACCCAATGACTGGGTCACGCTTCTGTAAAGATTGAGTTTCTAGACGTGGCCACACTGTTCAGCTCGACGAGCCGTTGAGCCACGCAATCCACGCTCGTCTTTGTTCCCTGCTTCCAGACACGGGATGTACGTAACATCAGCTCAGCCCACCCTAGGTCTAAACAGCTTCCTTCCTGTATCCGAAGGCACACGCCTTTCACGTCCCTCTCACCATGATCCCGCCTTTGACACGAACCCCAACGTCACCTCTGCGCGCCTCACACTCAGCATCCCCTTTCCCTCGGAAAGGGGAGCCCCTTGTATGACACACCTTCTTGTATTTGCAACAAATCTCACCTCTGCACGCCGGTCTGGACGGTGTCCGCCACGGATTTGAAGCTGCTGGACACGACGCCGAACGAGCTCTTCACCAGCCCACCCGCCGTGTCCAGCAGGCCTGATGTCTCGCCGGCCGCCTGCGACGGACCCGCCTCGACGTCATCGCTGGCGTACTTGTTCCACTCGGCCAGGACGGAGGCGGAGGGCACGGCGTCGCTCTTGGGGCCGCCCCAGAAGGAGCGAAAGGCCTCCATGCCGGGCTGGAGGGGAGAGGCGCAGGCGGCAGCACGGGGCAGCGACCGCGCACTTGGGGAGTTAAGGCCGCAGCTCGGACGCCTGTTTGGAAGCCAAGCCTTCGAGTGATGGGGGGTATTAACGTTGGTTAATGAGTTGCTGATTTGGGAGACGAGGGTGGTGTTGATGGTGACGAAGGCAGGCAGGGTAGAGGGGTGGCGATCCCTGAACGGGAATTGTACGCTCGAGTCCACGGCAACGGTTTACAGCCGAGGCAAAAGGACAGCAGACGTTCTGTCCTTTATACTCAGTCCGTTCATCAACATCCTTAATGCAATTCCTAGTGCTTCGTCATCTTTTCATGCATTCAGTCACTAATAACACTCAATCAGTTCTAGCCGTAACAATAGGTCGCTTGATGTTCTGTAAAAAACCGTGATGATGATGATGATAGGTCGCTGGCTGGTTCGCCACCGGGGAAGCGGTTCTGGTGGAGGCGGTCTGGGAACGAGCTGGAGGCCACGGAGTTACAAACAGATCCCAGACAACAATGTCGTTTTACAGCCAGGCCATCTATTCAGTCCACGTATGATGATTGCGTCACATCAGTGTGCCGGCGCTGGGAGAGGCGAGAAACCGGGTCAGAGTCCCCAACACAGCACGCTGCGGTCATGGGCCTGCCGGCGGCTCCCACATTGACACTATTAGCAAAACTGTCGGCACAGGGTGTCCACTCATTATGTGTCCCTCATTATGAAATTTTGCATGTGAGGGCCAGGAGGTTAACGTTTACTACTTCTTGTGCCCGAACAAAACGCTGTCCATGATTTGTTCATTGAGAGATGAAATCTAATGCATAATTTAAACGAGGTCCAGAATCCATACATCCCTAGTTTTCGAGAAGTTTTTGTCCATAATGTCACCTGGGAAGAAGTGTTTACGCCAAGTTACCGTCACGGAAATGTTGATGCGCCGGGCATTCTGTTGGCATTCTGCCGCCGGGAAAATCTGTTACTGGCAGCCAGCGGCACTTGGCGGCTAATGGACCTGTTGATCAACAGGCCACTTTTGAAAGCGGGCGAAGGGATTTGTACATGCGTACACGCTCTCAAGAAGAGTCAAGACTAATGGATAAGAAACTGCCTTGGCTGGGAATCACTGGGTCGGCAGACAGCCTTCAAACATGGCAAGGGCCTATCGCGCCCCACCGCCCTGTTTTGCCCTCACCGGCCCACCCCTTGGAGACTGCGCTCAGTGTTGAGGGTTCAACGGTGTGCAGACTATGAGGGGCTGTACTTTGGTTTCAGCCACGTTCTCAGGACAACGTATCGAAGGTCTTGGGCGCCACAGTGATCGATGCGCCACAATATCTGCTCATTTAAATTGTTGAAAATGCTGGTGGTTATTCCCAATGTTTTTCTTCTTGCGTGCGCAAATTGCACAGTCATTGTATATATCTGTCGGTGGACGTGTGAGTCCTCAGTGCCCGTATTGTCACGCTTGCCATGCCCAGTTTCGCTGGACCTGGCCTTTCTTTCTTTTCATTGAACATTAAGATTCGCACCATTTACTTCAATTCTTTGAGCAATTCACTGGATGCATTTCCATGCTGAGAGGCAGCGAAATCTGGAGGGAAGCGAAAGTACCCATCATATAAAGATTCTCGTCAGTCCAGCGCGCGGAGGCCAGTCATCTGCAGAGCACACCATTCTGGGGATGCCAACTGCAATGCCATTTCGACACTGATTGCTGCCACCATGGTGATTGCAATGCCATCAAAATAAATGCGGTGGCGCCAATTCGTTAAATATGGCTCCGCAGTTCACATCACCGAAACGGGTCCTTCCTGCGGTAAGTACAGTTGCGAACGGGGTCGATCGACGTTGGCATCGATGCAAATGGTGTTTACTTATTGTGACCTGCATTTGAATGCAGCTCTGTAAATTCAACAAAACAACGGAAGTACGAATAACATCATCTGGTACACAGTACCTCGACTTCCACGAGTTATTCCTGAAAGCCAGAACGCATGCTTTGCTTGCTCGAAATTCCATTAATTATCGCCATCATGAGGTGGAAAATATCAGCCCTTGCACAAGGGATTTTATAGTTCCACAAATCTCTTCAAACACATCCCTAAATACACTGTGAAATTCTATTCTGAAAGCAGAAATTAAATTCGCCCATGTACAATGTACAACGCACCTGCAAATATGGCCCCGCAAACAAGTTCGTGATTTTCCAAGTTCTTTGAAATTTAACAGGGCATACGCATTTCAGCAAACGCTACTCAGCAACATCACTTAAAATGCATTTGTAAAGAACTGCGCGCAGATAAGCGCTAAGTTCCAAAAAAATTATGTGCGTGTATGTTCATGTTGTTGCTTTAAGCTGGTCAATACCACAAATATATAACAACAAACAATGAAAGCAACGTAAACAATGAAATAACCTATGTGGCATGGGCAGTGGCTTGCCTTGCCAGCCTCTCTTCGTACCGTTTACCTTCGCGAAGTTGATCGTTTGGTCACCGACTTGCATTCCTTCTCGCCATGGGCGCCTCTGCTCAACTTCAGTCTTCTTATTGCTCCCCCCTCTCCAGCCCTCACGCCAGTAATTCGTTCACTTGATTGGACACCCCCGTTGCTGCACATCTTTGCGCTCACAGAAATATGTACCTGGCGCCATGCATGCATGGAGATGCTTAACTCCCAGCTCGGGCCTCAGCTCCCTGATGAGCACACGGAAGCCGCGATGCTCAACCGAATGCGGCGACATTGGTGGCAATGCCAGCCCCGTCTTAAATTCACCCTCGAACCCACACTGGTGAAAATGGCACCAAATGCGCGATTAGGAGTATTATTTACGCCGTGAACACTGATCGTATTTACGTTTCCGCTCGCAAAATAAATGGTGCGTTTTTATGCGTAAAAAAAGGTAAACACAACGTGAAGGCAGCCCAGTGTGCATAAGGGTAGTACATACAGGCTTAGGGAGCGCGGGAAGTAGCAGTCAGACACGATGGAATGGACAGAAATCAATTCTTGTTCCACACTGTCGTTGCCCTTGCCAAGGGCGAGGAGGACGCTCTGTTGTGCTGGAGGAGGCGGAAAACTGATCACTGTACGCGACTGTCATTGTGCAACCTGTATCACAACGAGCAGTAAAAACGTAAAGGCAAAAAATTAAACACGTTTAACGTAAAAACATTAACGTTAAAACGTAAACGTAAAACGTAAACGTAAAAACATAGACGTAAAAGCGTGAATGTAAATGTAAATAACACGCCTGATTAGGAGAGCACGGTTTATACCTCAAACACGCGATGCGGTCCCAGTTTACGACTTTTGGACGACGCCAGAAACTGTGAGAAGTCGGCCCTACTTTGCTTGTGCCAGAGACAGATCGGCGACGGCAGCCCACCCGCCACCCCCACCTTCCCGTTTTCAAATCGCCATTTGGTAGCCCCCGCCCCCCGCCCCCCCGGCGTCTTCGACGCCGCCTGCCTGTCCAGCTCGATCCCAAACAAGGGACGTCGGGCGTCCTCGCCTAATCCAACATCCCCTTGGGCGACGGCTTTGCCCCACGCCGCACCGCCGTCCCAGTTTCGAGCTCATTGCAAAGGCCCGCAACCGCCTCCCAGCCCGCCGGGCCACCAGGCCGATCGGCCTCGCGAGGCTCCGCCACACCCAACCACCTACCCGTCCGGACTTGGAGAACCGACCCGGACAGGGATTCCCGGATCCGAGAGTCTCACTTGGTCGGCTGGGTCGCTTGGGCGCCCTCAATCCAGCGCTGTCCAGGGCTGCCGGCCGCAGGCAATCGACGGCTGAGGCCGCGAGCGCGGGCGGGCTGGGCTGCATGCAGTGAGCGTCATGGACGAGGTCCTGTACCTCGCCGGCGCAGACCACATTCCAGACGTCGCGCACGTGCCTGGAAGTCGTCCTGAGCACGAAGGCGACGAGTGCGCGGTGCTAGCCGCGCTGCGAGACCACCAGAGCCTGGCGTCCGTCCTGGATCTCGTCGCCAGCGACTTCAACCACGAATTCGGTGAGGTCCATGCGCGGTGCGCGCGTTTGTGTCGGTGATCCCGCCGGACCGGGGGCTTGGATCGGAGTTTTGTGGATTCGCCGAAGGGGCCCGGCGTGCGCGGAATGGCCGGTTCAGCGATGACGGCGTGGGGGGCCAGGTGTGGCCCGGTTGTTCGCCACGAAGGCGGGTTCCCAGGAGAGAAGCGTGGAACGTAAAATGAAAATGAAAAGCAAACCCGTGAAAATACAAACGAATGTGAAGAAATAAATGGAAGGGGGCAAAGATGGGAAAGAACGAGAATGTAAAAAGGGAGAAAAAAAATGAGCGACTTGCGCTGGAGATTGCTCGCGACGCGGTGCGGTGCAATGGCGCGTCGCCGTTGCTGTGTCGATCTGGATTCTCCTGGCGGCCAGTCGATGTGCCGACCGGATGCACAATAAGCACATGTTCCAGGAGTGGAGATGGCCTGCGTGGGCGACGAGCTGAAGGGAAGACGGTCCGATGCTCAGTATTGCGACGCCTCAGGAAGGGGATTCGCGTCCGATAAGATGTCTGTCTTCCATGAAGTTTGGCAGCAACGCAAGAGGACAGCACCATTTTGGCTAATTTGCGATTGATGCCTCCAACTCTCAATGTCATAGAAGTCACCGTGATGCAGCCGCTCAGTGTCAGAATGATATTGCAATTTGCATGGCCCAAATGGTACTCTTTGCTGGTGCAAATGGTGACTTGGAACTCAACTCTTGGCGCAGCTTGCATCCAAGTGCACAAACAGCTGCGTCTATTGATTCTTACCATATACGGTCATCCGTTTCCAGTAATGATTAGGTCCCCTGAATTGGCGATTCTCTGGTGTTACGATATCGTAACACTCTCATCGATGAGACATCTGTCCGTTTGTCGAAGAGTGGCAGCCGATAGCCTTTGATTTGCGGGTGTGTCTTGATTTACAGTGCGACTCGAATTCTGGCTTAACAGAGGGATGCAA